TGAACATAAATAGTTATGGTTTGATTCCTCATGGTGATGTGTTCGTTTGAGTGCAGTTTGTTTGATCATCGTGTTCGTTTGAGCACGTTGAATGATGCTTCGTTTTGATTGGTATGACATTTTAATGTTGCGATTTGGCACTGTTTCGTCTTTGAAACTTGTTCGTATCTGTTTCAGTTTGTCGATGTGCACATTGTAGTTTTCAGTGCCGAAAGGATTCTGTGTCAGTCTGTGCACATTTCTCTCTCCACATCTCTTCGTCTGAACATCTGTACATCTATGCATCCACACATCTCTCTCTTGCTTTCTCCCTCTCCCTCACTCTCACTCTCCCTCTCTCAATCTCACTCTCCCTCTCTCAATCTCACTCTCTCAATGTCACTCTCTCTCACTCTCTCTCTCCGTCTCAATCTCTCTCTCAGATAACCTTCGCTTATAGAACTTGTAAAGTGACTGTCATTCTGTCGAAGTCACTCGGTTATTGTGTGGTCAGTTTGTTGACAATTCACACGTTCTATATAACACAGAAATCTGATTAACCTTCTATTTCCATCCCGTTGTATTAGTTTATCAACATGGTCAACTCTTTTCCATATTCATCACAATTCACACATTTGAGCAACATCTCTTCACATGTATATGATTCAGTGTATTCCATGAAATTTCTCAATGATCCTATGTCTAGCTTGTTTATCACAGAATGACAGTGTGTTCAACTAATGCAAATATTACTTGAACGATTTAGCACATCACATTGTCACAAAGTGTATATATTCGACTGAACTGAGTTACATTTCATGACTGATATAGTGCGATCTGTTGACCAATAAAGAATGTAACTCACCTGTGGGTTTGTCTAATGCGAGGTCATCTGAAATGTGAGAGCGTGAATATTTGAGTTTGAACTTGTAATCTGTGATTATGTGAAGAGACGTGTTTATGAACAAGTGTAGAATAGTTTGGAAAGTGATCATCTTACAATTTGAACTGACGTCTGTGGATAAATCGGTAGCTTACTAAATCACTTTCATCGTAATACATTGCACAGTCACATAAATAGTTATGGTTTGATTCCTCATGGTGATGTGTTCGTTTGAGTGCAGTTTGTTTGATCATCGTGTTCGTTTGAGCACGTTGAATGATGCTTCGTTTTGATTGGTATGACATTTTAATGTTGCGATTTGGCACTGTTTCGTCTTTGAAACTTGTTCGTATCTGTTTCAGTTTGTCGAAGTGCACATTGTAGTTTTCAGTGCCGAAAGGATTCTGTGTCAGTCTGTGCACATTTCTCTCTCCACATCTCTTCGTCTGAACATCTGTACATCTATGCATCCACACATCTCTCTCTTGCTTTCTCCCTCTCCCTCACTCTCACTCTCCCTCTCTCAATCTCACTCTCCCTCTCTCAATCTCACTCTCTCAATGTCACTCTCTCTCACTCTCTCTCTCCGTCTCAATCTCTCTCTCAGATAACCTTCGCTTATAGAACTTGTAAAGTGACTGTCATTCTGTCGAAGTCACTCGGTTATTGTGTGGTCAGTTTGTTGACAATTCACACGTTCTATATAACACAGAAATCTGATTAACCTTCTATTTCCATCCCGTTGTATTAGTTTATCAACATGGTCAACTCTTTTCCATATTCATCACAATTCACACATTTGAGCAACATCTCTTCACATGTATATGATTCAGTGTATTCCATGAAATTTCTCAATGATCCTATGTCTAGCTTGTTTATCACAGAATGACAGTGTGTTCAACTAATGCAAATATTACTTGAACGATTTAGCACATCACATTGTCACAAAGTGTATATATTCGACTGAACTGAGTTACATTTCATGACTGATATAGTGCGATCTGTTGACCAATAAAGAATGTAACTCACCTGTGGGTTTGTCTAATGCGAGGTCATCTGAAATGTGAGAGCGTGAATATTTAAGTTTGAACTTGTAATCTGTGATTATGTGAAGAGACGTGTTTATGAACAAGTGTAGAATAGTTTGGAAAGTGATCATCTTACAATTTGAACTGACGTCTGTGGATAAATCGGTAGCTTACTAAATCACTTTCATCGTAATACATTGCACAGTCACATAAATAGTTATGGTTTGATTCCTCATGGTGATGTGTTCGTTTGAGTGCAGTTTGTTTGATCATCGTGTTCGTTTGAGCACGTTGAATGATGCTTCGTTTTGATTGGTATGACATTTTAATGTTGCGATTTGGCACTGTTTCGTCTTTGAAACTTGTTCGTATCTGTTTCAGTTTGTCGATGTGCACATTGTAGTTTTCAGTGCCGAAAGGATTCTGTGTCAGTCTGTGCACATTTCTCTCTCCACATCTCTTCGTCTGAACATCTGTACATCTATGCATCCACACATCTCTCTCTTGCTTTCTCCCTCTCCCTCACTCTCACTCTCCCTCTCTCAATCTCACTCTCCCTCTCTCAATCTCACTCTCTCAATCTCACTCTCTCTCACTCTCTCTCTCCGTCTCAATCTCTCTCTCAGATAACCTTCGCTTATAGAACTTGTAAAGTGACTGTCATTCTGTCGAAGTCACTCGGTTATTGTGTGGTCAGTTTGTTGACAATTCACACGTTCTATATAACACAGAAATCTGATTAACCTTCTATTTCCATCCCGTTGTATTAGTTTATCAACATGGTCAACTCTTTTCCATATTCATCACAATTCACACATTTGAACAAAATCTCTTCACATGTATATGATTCAGTGTATACATTCAAATCAACGACGACGAACTAATGATATCCTTCGATGTAACAGCACTATTCACTTCCATTGAACCAAACTTAGCAAAAGAAACCCTGTCCTTGCTTCTAACCAACGACGAAAACCTCGCAAAATACACGAAACTTCAACGTCAAAGCCTACTTGAACTCATAGATCTATGTCTAACAACATATTTCCAATTCAATAACAAAATCTACAAACAAACAAAAGGGACACCAATGGGATCACCAATATCAGGACTCATCGCGGAAGCAGTAATGCAACGACTAGAAACCATAATTCTACCAGTGATCAAACCGAAAATTTGGATTCGTTATGTAGATGACACATTCGTCATCGTCAAAAAGGAGGAACTAGAAAACACCTACAAGCAGATCAACAACGTCTTCAACGACATCAAGTTCACAATGGAACAAGAGTCGGACAACAAGTTACCATTCTTAGATGTATTAATCACCAGAACTGACACAGGAAAACTAGAGACTCAAGTGCACAGGAAACCGACCCACACCGATCAAATTCTCAACTACAATAGCAACAACCCAAGAACTCACAAAATCAACTGTGTACAAACTTTGTTTAAGAGGGCGAGAACACACTGCAATACAATCGCAGCACGAAAAAATGAAGAAAAACACCTGAAAACCATTCTTCAAAAGAACGGCTATCCAATCAATTTCATCAAAAAATACCAGTCGCACACACCATCAGAAACGAAGTCAGGTATGAAAATCAACAAAATGATCACCCTACCATACATAAAGGGCATATCGGAAACGACAACAAGGCTGCTGAAAACCTTCGGAATAGGTGTAGCCCACAAACCAACAAAGTCCCTCCACTCAATCTTATGCAAACCAAAAGATGAAATAGCAAAAGAGGACAAAACAAACATCATCTACAAGATAAATTGTACCAACTGCAACAAACACTATATTGGACAAAGCGGACGGCCCCTGCACCTTCGCCTACATGAACACCAATTAGCAGTCAAACGTCACGACATTTCTTCACTCATATCAATACACGTGGACAACTACGGACATGCATTCGACTGGGAAAACGTGCAGATTTTGGACAGAGGTAATTCCAAAAATACCAGAGAATTTTTAGAAGCTTGGCACTCAGGTCAATCAGCAATAAACAAACATATTGAAATCAATCCAATCTATCAACCAATCAAGAAAATTATGCAAGTAGATAGGAACAAAAATCAAACCAATAGGAGATACAACCAAAACAAAGAAATAAACAATGACAGATTTAAGGTCAATAAGAACCAATCAACATCGAG